GATGAGAATAATTTTGTGATCGAAAATCCACTTGAATAACATTTTAACTGACTTAGCAATGGATCTGAACAACCCTTTTAATTATGCCATATATCTAATAAATTACTTGTCCTCATGTAGGTGCAAGTCAATATCAAAATATTTTACAAGGTAAGTTAGGATTTATTATGATATTTTCATTTTGAATCAAACTAAGATTCAATGGAATATTTTGGCTTAGCACTTTTAGTTCAACTTTATACATTATTAAAACTTATTTTGAATCCAACTAGAATATATTGAGAGAGATATTTTGGCTAGTTTTAGCACTTTCTGGTCGTGCCGATAGGTATCATGGATCAGAATCCTGGAGGACAGATTGGCATTCTGCAGATGCTCGGCCTTTCGCAGCAAAATGGTGGGTTAGGCTTTCCGGGCTGCCTTCAAACAGGCGGTAAGGCGTAAAATATTAAGCAGGCCTTAAACTTTGCATTTTACATTTCATTTTGTTTGGACTCTGTTTGATCGAAAAAAATGATTTTGCTTTGTGTTTTTAGTGTTTGGTTAGTTAAACATTAACTAGCAAAACATTTTCCAATCAAAGGTTTTAACAAATACATAATAACATTTTCCATTTTGATAGGGCTTTTTATACCCATCGAGAATGTCAAGGCCAATGTTCAGATTCACTTTTCTTTTTTCTTTTTTTCTTATTCTAAGTTGTTTCTTTGTTCTAAAATTTAGTAGATCTGGTTATTTTGATAGAGTGAAATATTTTGATTAATTTAGTACTTTATATGTATAACTTCTTTCGTAAGTAATTGTATTTTATTGTGATGATTATTGATTTTCGATTGGGAGGATGGTTTAGGATTTGGAAGGAGCAACATTTGTGTGGGTTGAATCGTATGGCTGTTCAAGAAAATGGGTTCAAAAATCAAGACGTTGAACAAATTGGTTTTTAGAATCAGAAGTGTTATGCGGAGGATGAAAAATAAAAATATAATTTTTTAAAAAGAAAATTTAAATTATTTAAAAAATTTAAAATAAATTTTTATATTTTTATTTTGAATTAAATAAGTTATTATAATTGATGATTAACTTAATTAAAATATTATTTATCATTCTGTATCACATGACATTGATATGACATATTAATATATTATAATTGATAATAATGTAACATGTTAATTTAGCTTGACAATATAATTATTTTTCACTTTGTACATCAATGTTATGTCAATGTTATGTGCATATAAAATAACAAATGGTATTTTGATTAATAATAAGTGATATTTGAGTAGTGACAATTAGTTAATTATTAGTTATAAGGGTTTATTTGATTCAAAATAAAAATACATGAACTTCATTGAACGCAATAAAAGAATAAAAATTTGTTTAAATTTTCTTGAATACTTATTTAAACATTATGCTAAAAATAATAGAAAAAAAATATAAAGCAAGAGATGAGAATAATTTTGTGATCGAAAATCCACTTGAATAACATTTTAACTGACTTGGCAATGGATGTGACAGAAGCTAACTTAGGTATCAATTAAAGGGAGAACATATGTGTTTTGAAAGAAGATGAATTTTGAGTAACTTAAGAGTTTTGAGTAGAATATTAGTTATCTCCAATTTGTAAGAGTATTTTAGCTTGTGAAATCCATCATATTGTTTCCTTTTTATGTATTCATTGATTATCGTCAAACCAATTATTAAGCTCAATCATACAAAAACTTTCCCTTTAATTATTCCATATATCTAATAAATTTCTTGTCTTCATGTAGGTGCAAGTCAATATCTAAATATTTTACAAGGAATTTATTATGATATTTTCATTTTGAATCAAACTAAGATTCAGTGGAATATTTTGGCTTAGCACTTTTAGATCAACTTTATACATCATTAACACTTATTTTGAATCCAACTAGAAAATGTTGGGAGAAATATTTTGGCTAATTTTAGCATTTTCCTGTCGTGCCGATAGGTATCATGGATCAGAATGGCATGATGCAGATGCTCGGCCTTTTGCAGCAATATGGTGGGCTCGGCCTTTCGGGAGGCCTTCAAACAGGCGGTAAGCCGTAAAATTTTAAGCAAGCCTTGAAGTTTGCATTTTATATTTTGTTTTGTTTGGACTCTGTTTAATTCGAAAAAAAATGATTTTGCCTTGTGTTTTTAGTGTTTGGTTAGCTAAACCTTAACTAGCAAAACATTTCCAATCAAAGGTTTTAATAAATACATAATAACATTTTCCATTTTGATAGGGCTTTTGATACCCATCGAGAATGTCAAGGCCAATGTTCAGATTCTTTTTCTTTTTCCTTTTTTTTTTTTATTCTAAGTTGTTTCTTTGTTCTAAAATTTAGTAGATCTGGTTATTTTGATAGAGTGAAATATTTTGATTAATTTAGTACTTTATATGTATAATATAGTATATGTTATTAATGTACATATATCCAATTTCTTACCTTCTTGTAGATCCAAATCAATA